TCAGTACCTGTGATCAGCACCAGGAGTGTGTTACAGTACAGACTGTGTGTTACAGTACACTAACCCAGAGACAGGATAACAGAGTCAGTACCTGTGATCAGCACCAGGAGTGTGTTACAGTACAGACTGTGTGTTACAGTGCACTAACCCAGAGACAGGATAACAGAGTCAGTACCTGTGATCAGCACCAGGAGGCTCGCAGTGAGAGCCCCAGTTGTGTCCATGGCGTTGTGCTCGGTGTCCTTCAGCCCTCTGAGCTGTTCCTCTGTCTGCCTCTGACTTCCTCCTCTGATCAGAGTCCAGCCCAGCTCTGGGAGTGGGAGGGGCTCACAGCACAGCCAGGTCTGACTCAGTGGAATAAGACTGAGTTCTGCTGCAGAACCAGGTCTGACTCAGTGGAATAAGACTGAGTTCTGCTGTTGAACCAGGTCTGACTCAATAAAACTGAGTTCTGCTGTTGAACCAGGTCTGACTCAATAAAACTGAGTTCTGCTGCAGAAACAGGTCTGACTCGATGGAATAAGACTGAGTTCTGCTGCAGAACCAGGTCTGACCCAATCAAACTGATTTCTGCTGCAGAACCAGATCTTGTTCAATAAGCCTGATTTCTGCAGCAGAGAGGTGTAGCGTGTTGTCCACTGGGGCAGAGCTGCACAGTGCAGCAGGAGATACTAGAACTGACACATTCTAATGGGACTGTATTGTTATAATAACATATAATGTGACAGTGTATTATACAGAATATATTAGAATAGGAGGATGTATAATAATGTATATACTGAAAAAATATAGATTATAATAGGAAGGTGTTTTATAATGGACAGATGATAATAAGTAGATAATAACAGATTATAATAGGAGGTGTATTATAATGGATAGATGACAATGAGTGGACAATCATTAGGGGGCGCTCACCCTGTGGTCTGTGTGGGTCCTAATAGAGAGTGATAGAGACACTAGACTGTTAAAAGTAGCCGTCCTTCGGATGAGACGTAAAACCGAGGTCCTGACTCTCTGTGGTCATTAAAATTCCCAAGGCGTTTCTCTAAAAGAGTAGGGGTGTTACAGGCCAAATTTCCCCCTGGCCTTTACCCATCATGGCCTCCTAATAACCCCCCTCTCTGAACTGGCTCCATCACTCTGCTCTCCTCCCCACTGAGAGCTGGGGTGTGAGGGGACTGGAGCATCAATCAGGTGGGGGGACACACTGGTGGTGGTGGAGGGGATCCCCAGGACCTGTGAAGAGCTTTGAGGAGTGTCCAGAACAGCGCTGTGTACAGTAAGTGTGAGGAATGATTAATTATGATGATAATATACCGCACCTGTGATACGAGCAGTGTGATCTCCTCGCCACACGGTGGCAGTGCAGTCCAATGGCTCTGATACAATATTCCTCTTGCTGCCTGTTGCTCTCTGGTCCAGGTAGTTTCGTGAGACCCGTAGGCAGATAATCGATAAGGGCGGTGCTGTCTGTCACCGGGCGCACGGCTGATACCTGCGGGTCACGCGTGTCTGCGCGCCGCGGTCTTCACGGCTGGGGGCCGTGGGGTCGTCACGGGTCACTGCGGGGCGGACCCGGCAGTAAAACTGCTTGACCTGTCCCGCACGGTCAGCACCGTCTCTGGGTCCAGTCGACATTAAGTCCCGTCAGGCCGCGGTAGG